AAGGGACGATCCGAACCATAAATAGCCCCGCCGCCTTCTTAATCCTGTACATGGTTCTGGGTAGACCATTTTAGTACCAGGTTTTGATTGCGACTCACATGTTGCTCTCGGTGTCCAGGAAGGCCACGGTGCGAAACCTGCAGATCACCCAGGAGAGCGGCCCGTCCGCACAAACTTAGCCCGAAGGTGGCTGAAGCGGCGCCTGGTCGCCCCAAAAGGAGTTCTTGGTGGAAACGGTGGCTCTTTGGTGAATCTGTAGGGGAGTAGGTGACCAACACTACTTCATGCATATTAGAGCATGACGAGCACATGCAAGAAACAGTTGCTTTTGTTCAAATATGTCCTCTTTGTGCAGCTCAAACATCACCTGTTTGGTCATTTGTCAGTGTGTGGAAGTATAATTATTTTGCGGAGTTGATATTTCAAGGGGACACAATTATAATGAACCTATTCGTGGCCTTTGTGGGACGGTGTCAAAGGCAAGCCTGGCAAATCTGGGTTGAGCATCCACCCAGTGGGCATAGTCGAAGGAAATGTTAGGTCCAACCCTAGTCAGGGACAATTCCTGAAAATTCCATCAGGGGCATGTCTTGCAGATAGCTGCTTGTTTGAAAGCTGCAGAATCCAAGGAGAGAGACAGTTTCTGGTGACCTGCTACATGTTTGAGGTTGGTTTTCTGCATGTTGCTGCACCCTGTCAATTCGGGGGGAGGAGTTTCAGCTCAGAACAAAATACTTTCAAAACCTTCTGTCAGCTTCCATGATTGTTGGGTTTGGGGGTACGCAGTCAGTGTTTCCCACGTTAGCGTGTACACCGGTTGCCGTTCCCCAACAATCCCAACAACATGTGGTTTAATTCTATCCATGTTCTAATCGGGTTTTCCTTCGGTTTACCCTAAATGCTGTAGTTGACAGTTCTTTGGTTTCCCACCAAACGGTCGGTTTGCATTTGAAAGAAAGGGCACGGGGCCTGGGCTAAGGTCACTCCATCAAGAGCTCCGGCGCTTCACCCTCCGTGCTTTGGAGCAACAAGAGTAGCCGACAGCCGCTGGGGTCCGTTCGCCGTGTTTGGGGTTGTCCGAGAAGGCGTGCCCAACCAAAAACAAAAAAGTGGCCTCTTTAGACTTGGTGGCTCCCAGCCATCCGGTTCCTTAGTTTTTTAGCCGTTGAGTGTTTAGTGGTTTCCATTTAACCCACTAAAGTTATTCACTTTTAGCGGATCAGAAATCGGGCAGCCCAGAGCAACCCCAGCTCGGTGGATGCCGCCCCCTCCAAAGTTTGCTTGTTTCGGTGGCCCGCGAAACAAGTACTCACCAGGTTTACTACTCATTCTCATTTCTCATTTCGCACCACGAAATCCGTTCGCACCACGAAATGAAACAATGGTTGACCCCTCACATTTGTCAGTATTTACGTTGGGGAATCATCAAGAACCAGGGTTCCTTAATTAGGCGCTGCGATTTCTGGATTTCGCAACCATCCGCAGTATCGTATCTTGCCCCCGACATAAAAAAAAGAACAAAAAAACAGAGAACAACAAGAACAAGAAAGCAAAAACACAGAAAAGAGCAAGAACAAGAAAGCAAAAACAACAAAGAGAGAAAGCGCAACGCGCTTCCGTGCCGAGGAACGGAAGCGCTACGCCCGCGCCATCTTCTCCTTGGTCTCTCCGCGGAGCCTTGAGATCACCGGCGGCAGGCCCGGGCCAGCTGGCCTGGCCCGTGGGGCCGGTGGGGTCGCGTCGGGCGATTCCTCTATTTGGATAGGTTATGTTTTTGTAGGGGGTGATTCCTAGGCCTCCATTTGGTTAAGAGTATGTTTTGCTTTTTCCTTGGTGGTTTTGAAAGGAATTCATCACTGGGACGTTTGTTTTGTTTTTTCTTCTTTTTTTTTTTCTGGGGCCTAAACCAAATGGAAGAGATGAGATGTTCGGGACAATGGTAAAACCAAACAATCACATAGCTGCTTCTTTTCCAGTCAAGTGGGGGATGTGTTGTTTTTGGTTGAGGAGCACGAATTGGTTGGGCTGAACGGGATCCACAGGGACATCATGACTGTTCAGAATTTGAGACACCCTGTTTGCATTCTTCAGAGTCTAGGTACCATTTGTACCATTTGTCCTTAGATGTAGTGGTTTGGAGATTAATGGGAACCCGGTTGAGAAATGCACCCTAGTCTACCATGGCGAAGCTCATCCTTATCACTCACTGACGTGCTCTTTGTGTGAGGCTTTCCATTCAAGATTAACGAGCTATGCCGTGTTTGTTCCACTGAGAAGTGAGGGGATATGCCAGGAGTCAGCCGACCTGTTTCCTTTGCCACCAGAAGGCTCAGAATGAATGGTCTGACGATTTACGACTGTCAGCCTCTTAGGGATTTGCCTCGTCTCCGTTGAACGGAGAGGTTTTCGGAGGGGTTCCGGTTTAAACTGTGGCCAAAAACCCCGCGCCTTTCCCCAACCCATGCAGTTGCCATCTGATGGGTCAAACATTCTCTGGTGGTCTATGGTTGATTTCAGAGGGACGTCGGGGAATTGGGGGAGTCACTCAATATCTTACCAGGGGACTCACTAAAGTTCCAAGTTTTGGGAAACTTGTGTAATTTTGACCCTGGAAAATCTTTGGCCAAAAAACTGTGCTTTCCCTTTGAAACGCCAAAAAAAGGAATACCTCAACAGACGCACCTAACCCCCTGGACCCGCAAAATACCCTTAAACACGAGTGAAAACCACTCCACCCCAAAATTTTGGTGGGTGAGTTCCCCTTGTTTTTTTTTTTTTTGGGGGGGGGGTTAGGGTTTAGGTCCTCTTGCACTCAGCCTTCGGAGGCGCTACGTGGGCCGCGCCTATCCGTATCCCTCCAGCTCGAAACGCTCCGGTGAGTTCAGGATTCGGGGTGCCAGCGAATCCCCGGGTGGACGCTGAATGGGTCTGGCCAACCCTTAGGGTATGTTGCTAGGGTTCGCGGGCTTGTTTCAACCTGTTTGAATGGGTCTTGGCAACCTTTGGGGTATTGGGCTGCTAGGGTTCTTGGCTTGATTTGCTAACCTTTGGGGTATTGGGTTGCTAGGGTTTTTGGCAGGCTTGTTTCAGTCAAAATGTTGGTTGGACAACTGTTTTGTGTTCTTCTTTTGGATGTGAATTGAATTCTCTCCTTTTTGGCGTGTTTGCGGATGAGCTTATGATTGCCCTTTCAAGTGTACAGGCAAGAAAAGTGTGGATTTCGCCTCGTTGTCATTTGGCGTGGATGGATTTCCCTTTTTGCCGAGTGCACAACCAAAGATCAATCCCAGTGGAGTTTTGTTTGGAGGGGTCGACCATTCAGATTGACCGGCAACAAACGGACGGTCATGAGTTTTTGTGCATTGGTTTGCTATATGTCGGAAGTCAACCGGCCCAAGCGCAAGAATATGTTTTGTTGGCCACTTGGCACGGGCTTTGATGTGTACAGCTGGGGGCAGGAGTTAGGTCCACTGATTGTTTTTTGGTCATGGTGGGACGGACTACACCCATACCAAGCAAGCTTGTAGTTTTGACTTGTTCCGTGGGAGTGTCACTCTTGCACAGTGATGTTGCCAGCTGTCATCATACCTGTCGGCCATCAAGCGAATGTTGTTTCGTTTTGCAGCAAAGGTGTCATTTTGCATTGGGTTTCAAGCCTCGCCAAGAGCAAGGAATGCGGAGTGACAGACTCAGACTGCTGGAAGATCGTTTCCACAGTTGCCTTGTGGGTTTGCGAAGGACCAGCAAGTTCTTTTGGGGCCGAGGCAGTCTGTTCAGCGGCATGTCACGGTGACGACAGGTTACTGCGCTTTTGGCCAGGCCGTGTGGAGTCTGAGGACACTTAGGGATTAGCTCCTTCAGTTATTAGTGATAGTGGTGTTTTGTTTTTGGGCGATTGGCTTTGCTTTTCTCAAGACGTCGCTTTTGGGCCACCCTGTTTTCTGGCCGAGAGTTCTGCTGTTGGAACCTTGGGCTCCAGGAATTCATGGGACCTCCTCTCGTAAGGGGCACGATTTGCTTTTGCTGGCGCCGGGCATGTCCAGCTTCAACCAGGAATCAGGGTCTGCCTACTGTTCCAGCAGGCTTTGTTGTATTGGGAAATGTGTGAAGGGACCACCTGGCTTGCAAACATGCAGAGTGAGCCAATTCAGTCGCCTTTGTATCTATCAGCTCATTAGCAACGGGAGAACCAAGGAAGATCGCGGCCAACGAAACTAGACTCAGGTTTGGTTTAGAACTAGACTCAGGTTTGGTTTGTGTTTTAGTTTCAGGAACTTTGAATGTAACAAAGCATGTCCATGATTCTGCTGACCAGTATTAAACGGAGGTAAGGATTGACTCCTAGCTCTGATGTTCCAAGAACCATTGCCTCCAAGTCTTTGGATCTGAGGGGAGTGCACTGCCCTCTGTCAGCAGATAGATGGGTTCCAGTAAACTGGCACCCAGTTTCCAGCAGCTTTTCCTCTTGGATTGAAATTCACCCCACGCCCCTGGAGAGTCTTTCTGACATTTCCCGTGTCCAGGACCCGTTGGGGCGCGCCTCTGCCGCGCCCGGAGAAGCAAGGCAGTGCGGGGAGTGAGTGGCGGGAGTGGCTCGTGGCCGCCCTTGGCCTGCACCCAGGCAAAGTACTAGAAGCTTCCATTTGCTGAAATGGATATTTTCAATTTGTTTTCCCTTGTTGGTTTTAAAAGGAAGTTATTACTACTGGAACTATTTCTTTTTTTTTCCAGGGTCTTAACCCAATGGAGGGAAGCGCTGGGTGATTGACAGGGGTTTCCAGAGCTGGGAAGGGAATACGCCCGTATTCTGCCAAGGTGATCAATCCGGGGCCTACATCAGGGAACTAGCACCCCGACGCGCTCGTGTTTCGGTGAGTGGATGTGATGGCTCGCATTGGTTGTTCAACGGTGGGTCAGCCTGTGGCTCGCTTGGAATGGTTGTCCAGGTTCAAAGATGCCAACTGCTGGCTTTGCAGTGAAGCCAGGTTTAAGGCCTCATGACCTGTTGAGGAACATGACTTTGCGCACGCGATGAGTTTTACTTGCATGTGTGTCTGTTGCATCTTGAGTTGCGGGGTGTATGGTACAAAATGCGATAAGTGTTCATTTCGCAACACACACACACACACTGGCCAGCAGTCTAACACAGTACCGGGCACAGGGAGTGTTGGGAGTGGTCAAAAAGCCCTTAAGGCAGCGTCAGAGCTACTTTTGGACAAGAACGTTGCTTGCTTTTAGCTGTACATTTGCTGAGAAGGACACCCCACGATGCCATATGATGCCATACACCCTATTCATGGTAACATTTCCCCCCACAAACATGGGTCTGCAGTTTAGCCGATCAATCAAGCATGGGGAAGCCAAGACAAGCACCCTGTCTTGGCTAAGTGATGTGCCAAAGTCTAGCATAGCATTTAGAAGTGACACGCAACAATGCATTTTGAGTATACAGCCGCAAGTGTACTCGTAGTATGATGAGGATGTAGTCGCAGTGCACACCGTGCACATCAAGAGTCAATCACGTAACATAAACTAGAAACAGAGGTGCAATGTGATTGCATTGTATACATGTAATCATGCATTCACACATTGATAGTATTTGTAACGTTAGTGATAGTGATAAGATGTATGCAACAATCGTATGATGCACATACGTTCTCGTCTCTCTCTCTCTCTCTCTCGCAAACACAGCTCCGGCAGCGGTATGCGATTGATTCCTTTGGCATACGGTCTGCATGCAGGCTGAGAAGACAAGATGGGGCAGAGGCCGGAAATGGAGGGCGAGGTGGCAGTTGAGAGGCGAACATGGTAGCTGCAAGGAGCCTTTGAGAAGAATACTTTGTTCTCCACATGTTTGCCTGGCGGCTTCCATGCTAGCCTCAGGGAGTGCATTAGTGTATCCAGTTCTTCTCGATTCTTTGGACATGACGCAAGGGTTGGTTACCACAGGGTTGTTACTTCAAGTTGCTCGTTTGGCCGCAAGGTCGATTTGAGTTTGGACCGCTTGCCCCATAACCTCCCCCCCCCCCCCCGTGCAAGCGAGAAATCGGCCAAGGGTAGGCAGCCAACCTTGGAACCCAGGATCAGCTAACGCGAGGGGCCAGACCAGTCCCTTCATTTTGCTCCTGTCATACTGCCCTAGTTTTGGTTTAGAACACCTCACAAACCCCTGCTATGTTTGTTGGTCGTTGCATTGCTCAATGAAAGCGACCATTCCATTTGTAGAACATTGTCGTGGCTCGGACTTGTCTTCCAGCTGCTATTATGTTTCCCCTATAAACTGGGTTTTTGCCATGACCTGCGAGGACAGCGCATGGCATATGTGCGACACTACGCAACACGGGAGTACACTTTGTTTGGTGGTTTCAAAACGGAAACCCAGAGGGAAAAGAGCGTTTGGTTCCTGTAACTGTGGACGGACAAATTCCACCAGTTGAAAAGTGGTTCTCGATCTTTATATATCGGGCTCCGGGTTCCCAGTCCCAAGAGCCCGACCCCCAGGAGAGGCCCTGCGGTTCCCAGACCCTGGCCCCTTCACCCTCTGAACCCACACAACCCTAAACCAACCCTAAACGAGCTCGAAACACGATATCTTTAAACCAACACTCACGTTCTGACACACTCCAAACCAAGCCGGAACCAACTTAATCAACCCTGAACCAACCGTAAACCAACCTTTGATTAAACCAACCCCTAAGCACATATCTTAAACCAACACTGCACACTCTAAACCAGCCCGAAACCAATCTAAACCACCCCTGCACCAAGGATAAAACACACACACACACACACCTCCTAAACCAACACTAAATACACTCTACACCAACCTTAAACCAACCCGAAACACACATTTTTTTAACCACCACTAAACACACTCTAAACCAACCCTAAACCATCCTAAACCACTACAACTAGATCAATCCTAAACCACGTCTAAACCACTACAACCACACCACAGAGGGGGGGGCGGGGACTGGGAACCATGGCCCAGGACGGGGGGGGGACTTGCGAACCCTTGACCATGTATATATATATATATATATATCTATATCTCTATCTATAGGGGTTCCATCCATTCCAACTGCAGGAATGGATCCATCCACACTATCTCTCAGACCGCCTGCTGTCGGGGGGTACTTGCCTTTGACGGCTGCGGACAGATGACCTGCCCGTGCCCAGGCACATAGTCAGATGGTCATCTGAGCGGCACGGGACAAGTTGCTTTGCGTAAGGCGCCTCTTCAGGCGACAGCTCTTCCGGAGTTTTCATGGCGAAAGTGGCATAGACCTATTGATAGAGCACTAGTCAAACAAGCTGAATGTATGTGGGGCTTCTCCAGGACATTTCACAAGCGGGTCTTATCTTCTCACAATGACAGCGCACTGACTCGCTTCCACAGCGCTATAGCCAAAAAGCCGCCTTGCGCCTTGCTTGATAGGGGGTATAGCTGATCCAACTTCAGCTTGCGCGAGTACCACAAATCATTTCGTCTTTTGCCGCAGTGTTCTGACTTTGGCGGGGTAGTCTTATGCAGTTTTGTCTGCGCCCTAGCTTCAACTGAAGGCGATGGGGCCAGCAAGAATCGCTAGCGCCTGGTCTCTTTGACTTCCTTGTTTGACATTTGGCTGGGTCTTTGTGGTGATGTAACCCGTGGTTCCCAAAAGTCAACAACAAGAAAGCAGCTATTTGCACATACCCATTGCAGATGCACCTATTTTGAGAGGTGCCGCTGAATGATGAATCACAACGCAGTCTTCGGCAACAGGGTTGTCATGGCACCTTTTGTCGGAAACACGTTGGGTTTACTTGATTGTTGCAACTAGTTCGGTACTCTTTCAAATATGTGGCTAGTTTGCTTTTCTCTTGAGTTGTTTTAGTTTGCTCCCTGCTCTGCTGCTTCTTGTTCTGTCTGTCATACACTC